GTCGCCACCACTGGGAGAACGAGCGACGCTTCTGTCGCAAGTTTATGTTGATGTTCATTGTTACTTTGTTACAGACTGGGTAAACAGTGACCGCTCATCTCACATACGATTTGTGTCTGAGTTGTGGGCGGGGCTTATGGGTTATGGGGGATCACACGCTTACCTCACCAGCAGTCGAACGTTTTATTTATTGTTACCTATTGGTCAACAGTGGGAAGGGCCAAAACAACATGATCGGTTGGAGGAGCTAGCTATCAACAACAACAGGTGATTGGATAAAGATGGTACGCCCACAACGCCAGGGGCCAACGCATAATTCATGACAAAATGTAATGGAGTCACTCAGGTGGCCGTCTAAGACAGGTGTTATTGTTTGGTGTGATATGGTGACCGCGTCTGAGTTTGACAGGAAGTGGGGGGGGTGGGTGGAAAGTGGTCAAGCGATGTGATTGGCTGAAAGTCTTGACCTTTGCCCTTGCCCGCCTGCCAGCGAGTGTCGCCAGATTCGCGTCTCCTTGTGTAATGTTGTAATACCCAGGGGCATAAACCACGTGGTGGGTAACACTGATGCTTGTCCAGGCGGTGAACAAGTTTTTGTCCCAAAGTTTCATTTTACTACCTTTTTTATCCTATTTTCTTCAGACACAATTTTACCACAACAACAAAAAATATTTGTTTGCAGTAAAATAAAAGCATTATTGCAAGAAGTTCTGTCAACGCTATTGAAACTTTAGTTGGGGGTTTGAGCAAAGCTAGCTTATCCATTATTTTAACGATGACGGCTTCGTGGTAACAGGCATAAAGAGAGTGAAGGAGTGAAAAGAGGCGGCCATTACAGGGTGAGATTCAGGATGAATTAAAAGTTGTAATGTTTGTAGAAACGCGTTCAGCTATCCTCCCTGTAGGAATGGAACTCATTTCCTTTAGTAACAAACCAAAGATTGTAATAATTACATCATTTTCATAGACACGTGTAAACTGTAGGTTTATTCAGAAGACACAAAGACAAACTTTAAGAAGAAAAAGAAAAGAAAAATAAAGGTTCACTTTGAGCCGCTAATCTTCCTGGTATCGTTACATCCACAACTTATTCAGCTTTTGCTCAGACAAGAAAAAACAAGTAGGCACTTTTGTGACAGTCTCAAACTGCAGAAGTCAACACCATTTTTGTCGCCAAACACGGTTTATAAAAGACAAGGCAGAGAAAGTCTGGGACTCGACGTGTATATCCACAAAATCTGAAGACAATGTCGATGTCAACACGTTGT